GGCGATAGCTACACTGGTTTGTGATATATTATTTAATTACAAGTAGACTCAATCACTGACCATAACAAGGTGCTCAGCTTAAGGACAGCAGTGTATTAACAAAGCACTTCTTAGCTTGGTCGCCAAAACTTGCGATTTCTGGCATGGTTTGCTTTTACGCCCGACGCCCATTTTTTCTGGCTTACTGCTGGTGCCAGTGAAGTAAAAGCGAAGACGGCATTTTACTTAGTTTAATCCGAAACGCTTCTAAAATAACTGTTTCTGCCTTTGTTGGCTTGGTTTTTCTTGTGTATAAAAGCAATTACTTTCAAAATGCTTTTTGCAGAATTCGAAATATAATGCGAAACTACAATCCGCCTGTTTCACTCTTTTACTTTCAGTACTGCCTACTTCGATGGCTAGTACCACATATGTCTTGTCGATGCCAGCATCCGCTCCAGGCGAACAGGGAAGGGCAATTGTTTATTTCCTACCCATCGACAAAAATATAACATATGATATCAAAGTGTTCTATACGCCAGAGCAGGGCATTACGAAAGAAAGCAGTGTGCATCTGGAGTCGGTTCGTTTTTGCCATATTCCTGCGAAAACAAATATCTTAAAAGAATAACTGGGCCTAGTACGCTCAACGGTGAGTAGTTGACGTTTCCTGGCAAATTCTCTCTGTCTGGATTTATTTAAATACATTTTCTTGCAGAACGACAATGGAACCATTTGGGTATATAAGCGGACTGCTCAAAGATACGTGATGTTTGTTAATGGTACAGGAAAATTCGTTGTTGTGGCGGCGGTTAACTCGCTTCCTCTCTCTGATGACGAATCTGAGCTGCGCACTGACTTCGGTTGCTTCATGCCAACTCCAATCCTAAATCAAAGTAACGGCATATTTTCACGAACGATTACCTTCTGGGTGTTGAGCCGTACAGCCAGACAAAATAAATACTGATGCGGCTGCAGTCCCACTTATTAATTGAGGGCATTTTTTCTTCCTCATTACTCTTTGATAATTACTGGATTGTAATAAATGATCAGTGGGAAGATTCATAATGCGTCTCGAGCAATCCTTTCTTCCAAAGCAATGCCGGTTCGAATATTTCACGGCGAGCGAAACAGTATCGTTATGCGTTTTTGCCGTGCAGCGCTAGAGCGCTGCAACAGGCAGCAAAACGCATATTGCAACAACTCTGTCAGTGTGTGTATCTTTGTGTATATGTGTGTGTTCTTCTGTCCGGGTATTTCAACTCGCCAACCACGCAATTTTTGAAGCTGACATTTTGCCGGTATGCCCCCCAGCCAATCCGCGGTATTAATTGTCACGCACGTCTGGGCCCCATGTACGAGCACGTGAAAGTTTTGGCGAGAAAATTGCTAACTCGGGAACGAGACAAGCTAGAAAGCTGAAACTATTGGGGAATGTTCCCTACTCATGTAGGACAAAAAGGTTTCAAATTCAGCTGGCCAGGACAGCCCGGGACTTAGGTACGGGCACGTGAAAATTATGGCGAAAGAATTCATAACTCGGGAATGAGAAAAGCTAGAAAGCTGAAACTCTGAGGTGTTGTTCCCTACTCACGCACGACCAAAAGTTTTCAAAATCAGCCCCTTAGGACTGCCCGGGGCTCACCTACGGGTATGTGAAAATTTTGGCGCGAAAATTACTAATCCGGGAACGGGAAAAGCTAGAAGGCTGAAACTTTATGGCAATATTCCCTATTGAAGCAAAATTAGGTATTTGGAAACGCCCGGGCCCACGTACAAGCACGTGGAAATTTTGGCGCGAAAATCACTAGTCCGGGAACGAAAAAAGCTAGAAAGCTGAAACTCTAAGGTAATGTTCCCCACTCACGCATGACCAAAGATTTCGAATTCAGCTCCTTAAAACCGCACGGCACTCAGGTACGGTCATGTGAAAATTTTGATGGGAAAACTGCTAACTCGGAAACGGGATAAGCTAAAGGCTTTAATATTAAGGGAATGTTCCCTACTCATGTGCGACTAAAAGATTTCAAATTTAACTCTTCTGGTGCGGCCTTTTTTGCGGACCAGCAACTTTACATTTGTCGGTTACTGAAGTCGACACCTACAACTGACATACCGCATAGCTGCACAATTAACTTCCCGAACTTTGAGGGCCAGTATGTCACAGGGTTAGCTGCTGTGATTCCTTGCGATCTTGCTACGGCACGAAAGTGCAAAAACGCATAAACGCACCAGCCCGCCTGCTACGGTGCGTTGCAGCCTGGGTTTGTTATCACGCTAGCGTGGATAGATCAGAGGCGGAACTATGCTAAAATTAAATTTGAATCACTCAATCAAAAATGCACTAATCGTACATAGGCATAGATGCAACACTAAGAGAAAAGAACAATTATAATCACCGGCGACGCGCATTGGGCGGGACCATGCGATCATGCGTTATTGCAGTGTTTCGTGCTGTAATAAGGTCACTCGGAATTCAGCTAGCTAGAAACCTCTGACATACTATTCCTCGAATTTCGGGAAGCTAGTTGTCCACGATGTACTTGAACAGGGAACATTCCCTTGAAATCCCAGGTTCTCAGCTTTCTCAGTTCTCGAGTTATCCAAATTCCATTCAGAAAATTTCACAGCGCCGTACGCGCCAACCATGCGTGACTGAGGGCTGGATTTGATAAATTCAAGTTATAGATGAGTTGGGAACATTTCCTGGAAGTTTCAGCAACCCAGCTTCTCTGGTTCCGGAGTTAGCCATTTTCCCGTCAAAAGCTTTCACGGGACCGTACCTAATAACTACGCATAACGGAGGGCTGAATTTAATAAATTTAATTTGTAGATGAATTGGGAACATTCGCTGAAAGTTTAAGCCCACTAGCCTTCTTGGTTTCCGAGCTAGCGATTTTCGCGCCACGAACCCTTACGGAGCTGTACGCGGGGAACGCGCTCACCTGGGGGCTGAATTTAAAACCTTTGAGTTCTATACGGACGGGGAACATAATCCCAAAATTTCAGCTTTCTAGCTTTTCTAGTTCCCAAGTTAGCGATTTTCCGCCAAAACTTTGAGGCGCTCGCACGCGAGGCCTAGATGTGCGTGAGGATTGGTACCGCGATCCAGCTATTGCACTTGGCCGGGGAATCCACTCGCAAAATTTTGGCGCCGGAGCTTGCTTGGGACAGACGCACACACACACGCACACACGCTCACACACACATACACATACATACACACACACGTACACCGGGGTTTTCGCAATACGCGTTTTCGCATTTGCATATGTGCAAAAATGCATTAAAAAAATGCAATAATCAGCACTTATGAGTTAATTTCCCTTCCAGAGATCCCTCTGTTAGTGCGGCAGGAAATAATGGACTCAATACTGCCTCAAGTGGTTCGAAACAACCACCTTTTATATTCTATCACTTATTTCCCTCGAAATAATTTGAATACCTAATGGAAATTATTTAAAGCATGTGAAGGCAGTTCTGTTTTGGACACGCACATCACGACGTTGCTTACCACGGGGCGGTTCTTTGTGACCGTACCTACTCCTTTGTGTGAGCTATCCGTTGAAACTCGTACTGCCAGTGGAATAACTGATGTTACGACAGTATCTGCCACA